TTCATTTTAAGTTTAATTTATGCTTCTACTTTTCAATTTGAAATGGAAGTAAATTATTTTTAATTTTCATTATGAAATATTTTAAACAACAACAAGGACAGAATAATATGGAGAGCCTCCAGGACCCTAACTTTATTAATGACTGATAAGAGGAATATCATTTTATCTCTATCCTTCTACCCTTCACCATTATTTTCAAGCAGATACTTCACATGCTGTTATTTCATCTGTAAATATTTCAGTTTGTGTTTTGAAAGAATAATTCTCTTGGTTTAAATATAACCACAATATTATTATCATATATAGGCAAGTTAACATTAATTTGTTTCTAACATCATCTGCTCTTTTCACAGTTTGAGTCAGGATAAAAATGAGCCCCATATATCCAGTTGGTTGACATATCTCTTAAGCCTTTTATAAAGTGATATAGAGTTTCCCCACAGTCTGTCAGTCAGTTCAGTCACTCAGTCATGTCCCACCATTGGGACCCCATGAACTACAGCATGACAGCCTTCCCTGTCCTTTACCATCTCCAGGAGCTTGCTCAAACGCATGCCAATTGAGTTGGTGATGCCAGCTCATCCTCTGTCGTCCCCTTCTCCTCCTGCCTTCAATCTTTGCCAGCATCAGGGTCTTTTACAATGAGTCAGTTCTTCACATCAGGTGGCCAAAGCATTGGAGCTTCAGCTTCAGCATCAGTCCTTCCAATGAATATATTCAGGACTGATTTCCTTTAGGATGGACTGGTTGGATCTCCTTGCAGTCCAAGGGACTCTCAAGAGTCTTCTTCAACACCACAGTTCAAAAGCATCAGTTCTTCAGTGCTCAGCTGTCTTTATGTCCAAGTCTCACATCCATACATGACTACTGGAAAAATCATAGCTTTGACTATATGTACCTCTGTCAGAAAACTAATGTCTCTGCTTTTTAATATGCTGTCTAGCTTTGTCATAGCTTTTCTTCCAAGGAGCAAGTGTGTTTTAGTTTCATGGCTGCAGTCACCATCTGCAGTGATTTTGGAGCCCAAGAAAATAAAGTCTGTCACTGTTTCCATTGTTTCCCTATCTATTTGCCATGAAGTGATAGGACAGGATGCCATGGCCTTAGTTTTTTGAATGTTGAGTTTTAAGGCAACACTTTTACTCTCCTCTTTCACTTTCATCATCTTTCACTTTCACTCTCCTCTTTAGTTCCTCTTTGCTTTCTGCCATAGGGTGGTGTCATCTGCATATCTGAGGTTATTGATATTTCTCCCAGCAATTTTGATTCCAGCTTGTTCTTCATCTAGCCTGGCATTTTGTATAATGTACTCTGCATATAAGTTAAATATGCAGGGTGGCAATATACATCCTTGGCATACTCCTTTCCCACTTTGGAACTTAGTCCATTGCCCCATGTCTGGTTCTAATTGTTGCTTCTTGACCTGCATATGGGTATGTCAGGAGAATGGTAAGGTCTGGTATTCCCATCTGTTAAAGAATTTTCCACAGTTTGTTGTGACCCACACAATCAAAGCTTTAGAGTAGTCAATGAAGTGTGAAAGTGAAAGTTTCTCAGTCCTGTCTGTCTCTTTGCGACCCTAGGTCAGAATACCGGAGTGGGTAGCCTTTCCCTTTTCCAGGGGATCTTCCCAACCCAAGAATCGAACCCAGGTCTCCCGCACTGCAGGCAGAGTCCTTCCTTACCAGCTGAGCCATAGGGAAGCCCAGGAATACTGGAGTGGGTAGCCTATCCCTTCTCTAGCGGATCTTTCCCACCCAGAAATTGAACTGGGATCTCCTGCTTTGCAGGCAGATTCTTTACCAACTGAACTATCAGGGAAGCCCCGATGAAGCAGAAGTAGATGTTTTTCTGTAATTCTGTTGCTTTTTCCATGATCCAGTGGATATTGGCAATTTGATCTCTGGTTTCTCTGCCTTTTCTAAATCCAGCTTAAGCATCTGGAAGTTCTCGGTCCAGGTACTATTGAAGCCTCACTTGGAGAATTTTGAGCATTACTTTGCTAGTGTGTGAGATGAGTGCAATTTTGTGGTAGTTTAAACATTCTTTGGCATTGCCTTTCTTTGGGATTGGAATGAAAACTAACCTTTTTCAATCCTGTGGCCACTGCTGAATTTTCCAAATTTGCTGGCATATTGCAAAATATGTGTGCAACACTTTCACAGCATCATCTTTTAGGATTTGAAATAGCTCGGCTGGAATTCCATCACCTCCACTAGCTTTGTTCATAGTGATGCTTCCTAAGGCCCACTTGACTTTGCACTCCAGGATGTCTGGCTCTAGGTGAACAATCACACCATCGTAATTATCTGGGTCATTAAGATCCTTCTTGTATAGTTTTTGTGTATTCTTCCATCTCTTCTTAGTATCTTCTGCTTCTGTTAGGTCCATAACGTTTCTGTCCTTTATTGTCCGCATCTTTGCACGAAATGTTCCCTTGGTATCTCTAATTTTCTTGAAGAGATTCCCATAGTTTGTAATTTGATGATTGCACCACTGTGGCCTTTAACACATTGCCTATACTCCTCATAAAAGGCTAATTAGATCTAGATGCTTGTTGAGGTTCACATTAGGTTTTTTGGTGTGAATACTGCATAGGTGATGCTGAGTATCCCCATTTGAAAGGTAACTTCTGGCCATCTTTTCTCTCTTTTTGTGTTGTTAGAATTAGTTAATCATTGTTGTCTTGGTTCATTAATTCACCTGATGTTACAAGATTGGTTATAATTCTGAATCTGTATTATTTCACCATTTAGTAGCTGGAGTTTTTTCCAAAAAGAAAAACCTCCCTTAATTATCTGAGTAGAGTTCATATAGAAAAGGCAGGAAAAAAGCTTGTTTATTTTCCTTTATTTACCAGTTTTCAAAATAGTTACTTGACTCCTTTCAAAAAGCCATCAAATGGCATCTTTCAAAGGCAATCACATGTCTTTATTCACTGTCATGGCTAATTTATGAATTTTAAAAATGTATATATTTAAGTCTTTTGTAGATATTACTCTTACTGATGTTCACATTGCCTCATCTTTATTTAAAGTGATTTTTCTCAAATTGGTTTCTGAGTCTTTGACCCAGCGCTGGTAGTTTTGCAGTTTCCTTGCTTTATGGTGTAACAAGATGTTCTAGACCCTTCTTAAATATCCTTGGTACGTATAGAATCAGTAAAAACTTTAACAGTATTTTCCAAGATCAGGTAATTTTCAACAAGATTTAGAGTGCACATATTTTTTGTTGCTGTGGTAAATAGATTTACATTAAGTTCAGTACATGAATAAAGCTTTTAGAGTCATGTGATTAAACAGGGTAAGTCCCACATTCTGTGGATAAAAGAGGATCAATAGTCTTGTCTGTCTGGAATAAGGATGATGTGAGGAGACCTGAATTCTTTTTGGAGCCTTGATTTTTATTGTCCATTAAGGTCTTTGTAGAAGTGCTGAATTTGTGTTGGCTATGAAGTGTTGAAGTAACATGAAAAACATGTTTATATACTGATTTTCCAAATATTAAATGGCAGAATTAGCTTTAAGAAAGATATTCCCAAAGTGTTCCTCCTCCAAATCCTACATATGAGATAATGTGTGAACAACTAAAAATAAAAATACCATTTTCTAAGTTGTATGATGCTATAAGCGGTTAATACTAGCAGAGTGGTCTCACATTTCAGAAGTTAAGTAAATGTAACTAATATGTGCCAGAAAGCTGGCTGCCCATCTGGTTAAGAGGCGAACATGTGATTTCTGCAGCATTAGTCCCAATAACACACACAAAAATGATATAACAGAAGGCTGAGGAAGAAAACAACGACTGACTAGAAAATGATAGGAGGAAATAGAGCCTCAGTGATGACTGGCTTTTAGGCTCACAGAGACCCACATAGACTAATCTCACTGAAAACAGACTCAGCCTCTTCAGGATAATAATGTGAAATACAGTGTCATAGATAAACAAATGTTACTTTTCCATTCTGTACAAGAACGAATGGGATGTCTTTTTATTTTGTTAAAGCCCCAGTCCAGTGGTCAAGACTTCACCTTCCAATGCAGGGAACGTGGGCTCAATAAGTGGTCGGGGAGCTAAGATCACACATGCCTTTAAGTGAAAAAAACAAAAAAAAACAACAAAAAAAAACCCAGAATATAAACAACAGAAGCAACACTGTAACAAAGACTTTAGAAATGGTCCACATTGAAAAAAAAAACCCCAAAAAAACTTAAAGCAAAAACAAGTAAACCAACAACAACAAAAAGAGAGATAGGGAATTCCCAGTCAGTGGTTAGGAGGAGAAGGCAGTGGCACCCCACTCCAGTACTCTTGCCTAAAAATCCCATGGACGGAGGAGCCTGGTGGGCTGCAGTCCATGGGGTCGCTAAGAGTCCGAGAGGACTGAGTGACTTTCACTTTCACTTCCATGCATTGGGGAAGGAAATGGCAACCCACTCCAGTGTTCTTGCCCGGAGAATCCCAGGGACGGGGGAGCCTGGTGGGCTGCCGTCTACGGGGTCGCACAGAGTCGGACACGACTGAAGTGACTTAGCAGCAGCAGCCAGTGGTTAGGACTGAGTGCTATTACAGCTTTTACAGACTGCCAAGGGTGCAGGTTCAAACCCTCCAAGGAGAACTCAGATCGCACATGCTGCTCAGTGTGGCCAAAACAAACAAGACAAAACAAAACCCCAAAGTATTAAAAAAAAAAATCACACTTTGGTACTATTGAGAGGAAGACAGTTGAGAAAAGGGGGCTGATAGAAAGGGGTGTGATTTTTCCTCAAACTGTGACTCTTTCTATCGGAACAATGGCAGTTAAAGGAAAGAGCTTTTGATGTAAAGTGGAAATAAGTGGATGTTGATAAGGATTTTAGCTGTACCTTTTTAGAGCTGTCAGCATCCACTTAATTGCACAAAAATATCGGCCTTCGAAACATACTTGCTGTCCGTTTGCCAGCGCGGTTCTGCGTTTTTCCAGCCTCCTCATCGGGCCCCACGTCTCTCTGCCTTCCTAGGCTTGTCCACTCTGCAGGCCGTGCTGGATTCTGCCGCCGAGAAGAAGTGGCAAGTGACTGCCATCAATGTGGGCAACATTAACAACGACAAGAAAGATGAGACCTACCGCTCCCTCTTCCAGGATCTGGAGCTAAAAAAGGAGCGGCGTGTCATCCTGGACTGTGAGCGGGACAAAGTCAACGACATCGTAGACCAGGTTGGCTCCTCTTTGTTTCCTCAGGCACCGAATTTAGAGGCTGCGTGCGGTGTCAGCGTTTGCAGAGTGTGTGTGTGAGATGCTGGCGCAGCAGTTTTTGACGGTTTAGGGAGGACACCGCACAGATCATCAGTTAGATTATCTCTGGCTTCAGTGAGCAATAGCAGGGGGTCCCCAACAACGCTGACACATCACACTAATCCTTACATATATTCAGTACATGATTCCTGGCTCATGTTGTGCATGGTGAATGTTGTCCTAAACTTAAGCATTTTGAAATGGAAATTTAAAATCCATTCCTTTGCACTTTTTAGAGATAAAGAAATAGACACAGATTAAGTGAAAATAAGTCTGGGTTCTAAGGGGAAAGTAAGTAATATATGAATTCTTTGGTAAGACATGAAGGATCAAACCTGGATTGTTGTCTGAGTGGGTTTAGGTCTTCAGACAGAGCATGTGTTTTTTCCAAGAAGAAAAATTTTCCTCCTAGTAGGTAGGTTTTGTGTCCCTTATGAAACTATTAATCTATGAAAATAAAATACATAGGAGAAATATACTTCGTCCTTTCTGTTTGAGAAGTAATTAATGTACTTAATTTGCAATATTTTAAAGAATAACATGATGCCAGAGATAAAGATGCTTTATCTATGCTCTTCACACGATGTTTCTTTCAAAATGTAAGATCTTTCAGGATAGGACAGCAATGTAGTGATATTCAAGGGAAAGAAATAAAGTCATTTATGTTATACAGATAGGGCTGACCGGGGTGGTGGTGAAAAGCATAAGGATTTACTGACTGAAGTCTCCACCACTGGGATCTGCTTCTTTTCCAACTAAAAATGTATATTTATATTTTCCTTAAAATAATGACACATATATATTCTATTTATATGTTATTTACATATATAAATGAATATATATAAAATTATTCCTTGGAATAATATAGGGTTGGAAATAAAATATGCAGTTTACTATGCACTTATTGTCTCTCTAAGCTTTGAAGAGAAAATTAGATTCATTAATTCGTATAACCCAAAACATTTTGCAAATGTAAATGTTGATGAAGTCTTAATTGATATAGAATACAAGGTCTAAGATATACACAATAGATCTCTCATAAAATATTATTGAATAAGTGAATAAAACTAGTGTGTTATGAGGAAGAACAAAATGTTGTATGTCAGAGAAGTGAACATATCAGTAGAACACTCTTAAATCTTATCTCAGGAGGTGAGTCTGGGATTGTTTTTAACCTGAAGGCCTCTTGTTCAAATATGACCTCAACAACTCATTTGAATTTCAGAAGAGATTCTCATTAAAACTGAATTTTAATAATAGTCAGTAGTCTTTGGTTTTAAAATTTTATGTAGTCATGACTAATCATAATACATGTTGGTGAAAACCTATACGAAAATATTTCTTTCAAAACTAGAAGAAAGAAACTATGAGAGCAACTGGGAATATATGGATGGAACTTCTTAAAATTTATTTTATTGAAGGATAGTTGATTTACAATGTTAGTTTCTCCTGTAAAGCAAAGTGATTCAGTTATATATATATATATATACACATTCTTTCTCATATTCTTTTCCATGATGCTTTATCACAGAATATTGAAGAGTTCTCTGTGCTATACAGTAGGGCTTTGTTATTTATCCATTCTATATATAATAGTTTGAATTTGCTAATCCCCAAATCCCAGTCCTTCACTCCCCCATCTCTCCCCCTTGGCAACCACAAATCTGTTCTCTATATCTGTGAGTCCATTTCTGTTTCATAAGTAAGTACCTTTGTATTATATTTTAGATCCCACATGTAAATAATATCATATGGTATTTGTCTTTGGCTTACTTCGTTTAATATGATAATCTCTAGATCCATCAGTGTTGCTTCAAATGACATTCCTTCATGGAATGGAATGTTTTGAAACAAATAATACATGATTGTGATTAAATAAATGTCCATATGGACATCCATTCAAAATATACATGGTATCTTGGGCATATATTTTATTTGAATGTACAACGTGCATGTGTGCATTTATTGAGGACATTATATGTGTCTGGAATGAGGGCTACAGAGAAAGGAAAGCAAGATCTTTGACTGCACCCAATAGAATTCACTGCTTAGAGGGGAAGGAAAGTGTGCACACATAATCAGTGCTACAGTATTGCAGGTTATAATACAGTGTGGTCTAAGAGCATGGAGGAGGAAGTATCAGTCTTAACAGGAGTTGGAAGATTTATGAAAGGTTCACACACGGGTACCACTTGGCTGGCTGGCTTGTGTTCAAGCCTTCATGTGTTTGTTCAATAAATTTCTCTGAGCATCTAATGTTTGCCAGACAGGCACTGCAGTAGATCCAAAAACATAATGTTAAACAGAACTGGCCTGCCCCATCTAGGTGAACAGTCATGATGTTTTACAGTCCCATAAATATGCAACTATAATAATGCTGTATACTATTAAAGAACAGAACAGGATATTATGAGAAAAAATGTTGAACACAAAAGTAATTTCAATTGGGAGATCATTGAAGGCTTTTGTTGAATAGCGTTTACTAGGCAAAATGTAGGACTATGGTACATTTAAAGAAAAGGAAACACTATTTACTTATTCCCTTTGTCAAGAGAATGGAGATGAAATAAAACTTTATATTCCTAATAGCTTGAATTAGTTAGAAATAGAATTAAACAATGTTAGTCTTGAGTACTTTATCACTTAATAAAATCTTAGAAACACATATTTCTAGTTGTGGTTAGGTGGGAAAAGGACTCAGACATCAAAAGCATTTAGAAATTAACAAACTTACTGTTGTTAGTATAATACAAATGGCTCCATAAAGTAGAGATATGATTTTTTGGCTGATACTAACTCTTAGATAGAAGTAGACCATTTTCATATTTCTCCGTTCTGTTAATGAACACACAAGTCAAGGACTTCTACTTCTGGTAGCACCATTTATACTGTGATTTTTCTTAATTCCCAGAAGGAAGACAGGCATGATTGATACAGTAGGATGACCAGTAAGCACAGTCAATACATGCCAGTAGGAAATATGAGACATGACCATCTGAATTCAGCTTATGTTAATTAAAATGCATTTCATTTAGGAGGATATCTTTTCTTCAAAATCCTACCTTTACTGCAGAGTGTTCTTTTTCTGGGAAAAGGCAATTTAGTTGTGTAACATAAAAGTAAATTGGAAAATAATATAAGCCAGAACTCCCTTCCAAATAATGACCACTTAGAAGCAAAGTCTGCCATATGGGGGAGTGGTGATATATGGTGGAATGCTAGGGCTTGGCCTTCCACTTGCTTTTTGACAGGGTTTGACCCCTGGGTTGGGAAGGCCCCCTGAAGAAGGGAAAGGCTACCCACTCCAGTATTCTGGCCTGGAGAACCCCATGCATAGTCCATGGGGTTGCGAAGACTCAGACAAGACTGAATGATTTTCACTTGCTCTTTGAGCACCTGACTGTCTGGGATGAGGAACTGAATTCAGGATGGTAATCTAGGAAGTAGCGATTTAGTCTGGGATTCACTGTGCCTCAAGAGACAAAAAATATGGTGGTGGGGGAACTTTCCAAGCAGAGTAAATGGGATCTATGAGAGCCCTGAGGAGATGGAAAGAAGCCTTTTGTGCAAACTGAAAGAGGACTCTAACTCTAGTTAGAGAGGGAAAAGGTGGACCTGGATTTTGCTACATATGAAGGATTTTGATCATTTTGCTAAAAGCAAAGAGAAGCCCCCAAAATAGTTTAATAAGGGACTGAGCTAATGTTTTCCAATTTTTATTAGCATGTAATGCTTTCCATAGGTGTGACTATTTCCTTAAAAATAGAAATTACAATTGAGTATCTAAGTACCACTCTACAGCATGACTACTTCACCCACTTTTCCTTATAAGTGATTTAGATCAGTGAGGGGTCCAGTTGATTCAGTAATGTCCAAGATTGTTGTGAGCATTATCAACAATTGCTTGTTCCATTTGGTGTGTATCTCGCCATTGATTTTTAAATTGGATTTGTGGAGAAAAATTAGCTTCCTTGATATTTTGCTGTTTCAAACTGGGAATAACAATGTTCATTGTAACTAGGCTACAATTATTTCAAGATTCTTAAGATTAGAATATTATTTTATAGACCTCTGTTAGAATTCTGTTATATGCTTCTTAATATTCTTTTAAAATTCATGTACTATTATAAAGTACATATGTGTCTATCTTTGAAAGTAGATTGTGAATATAAAATCTCAGATGTTGGTTGCAGCTGTCTATGTTTCTTAGAAGAAAAAAAAAGGTAGTTGTTGTAGGAATAAAATTATGACTTTTTATGGATTTTCACTATTAACAAAACCAAGGCAATTATTTTTTTTTTAGTTGTTGGCTTCTTGAATGGTAAAATTTATAAAGCACTGAAATATATGGCTACTTTTTCTGAGAGAAATAGTCTCTGAATTTGATAATCATGTTTTATCAAATATGACTCTTTGTAGATGATCAAGAAACATAGTAAATAATTTTTTAAAATTTTCTGAATCGTCATAAGTAATTTTACATTTGCATTACTTACATTTTTTTTTTATCTTTGTCAGGTTATTACCATTGGAAAACATGTTAAAGGGTACCATTACATCATTGCAAATCTGGTAGGTGAATTAATGATAGTTATTATTTTAATAGAGATGCCTATAAATTAAAAGCAATCAATGGCCAGGATTTATCAATGGTATTTTTAAAAACACATTTTGATTACATTGGTCAGTTAGAAGTGGTGATGTTTTTCTGAATTTGTTATGTTTTAGATTTACTTTCCACTTTATATTTTCTAATCACTTTCCTATTATTATAAATGATGTGAGAAATGATAGAACAATATTTGACAAGCTTACACTTTGTGTTACAAGGCATATTTTAGCTGAGGGAAAATTTTCAAAAAGATAAAATTTTATTGTCCAAATTTCCTCTTGTTTCCGTCACTATAATTTATAAATGTTACCCTTTACCCATTTTTTCTTATATATATATATATATATATATATATATATTATAAGTACACATTTTTGAACCTGGTCTTAGTGCAAAGAAAACCTGGAAAATACCTAGAATATCGGTATGTTATATATTATTTATTTCTGATTTCCTACTTGCTATATAAGCAACACAATGAAAACTGAATTACTATAGTTGATCACTTTGTCTTTGAGATTCTCCTAAAATTAATATTATACTGAAACACATGTGTGTATTGCTCAGTTGTGTCTCTTTGCGACCCGATGGACTATAACTCACCAGGCTCCTCTGTCCATGGGATTTCTCAGGCAAGAATACAGGAGTGGGTTTCCATTTCCTCCTCCAGGGGATCTTCCCACCAAAGGATCAAACCCACATCTCCTGTGTTGGCAGGCAGATTCTTTACCACTGAATCACCTGAGAAGCTCCTATATTGAAACATCCCAGTGGTTAATGCATCTCCCTTTCTTCAGTATAATCAAAGTCAATTTAGAATCATCACTAGATGTTTCCATTTTTCAAGACAATTTTTAAGTCAGCGATAAAATGAGCTCCAGTTTTTATTGTTCCAAAGGTTTACGATCTTTATTAAATGTGACTCCGTGTAATTGAGGGCTGCCTCTCCCCAACCTGAGGAAGAACGTGATTAGAAGAGGGACAAAAGAAGAGAATAAGAATGTATTCTCCACAGCATTACAGGACTCTGAGGTTTCCTATTTATGTGAATGAAGATCTGTGTCATGGCTTCTGGAATATTGGATTGTTATATCACAAGACATTACTTCTAGTAGTCTTGGAAAGATGGAAAAAGTCCACAACTTTACAAGTGATAAATATTGTTTTCAGCATTGATAAAGAATATTAAATCCCAGACATACATGCTATTGGGAAAAGCTGGTTGTTCAATATAAAATTTCTGTTTGGCAATGAAATAGCTACTCTAAAAATTCCTTAGAACTTACTTACCAGTTGGCTTATAGACCTTAAATGACTCCTGACTAGAGAAGCAAGAGTTAAAATAAATGCAGCTCTGTTATCAGTCTTTCCAGAACTGTTCTGTGCAGGGAACAGTCTGGACAGTCACTCCCCATGTGAATTGTGCCATTTGATGAACAGCCTAGAGCCACACTGAAAGCTGTGATCTTTAAAAATGTCCAGATGGAGAAGTTATATCGGAACATGGAGAAATAATGACAGAAGGAGGTCCATCAATTTGAGAGTTGATATGAAAAAGGAAATATGTGTTTGAATGACCAAAGTAAAAAGAGTTGAAAATAAAAGCAACTTCTTGCTGCTGTCATGCTGCTAGGGAAAAGTCTACCTAATATTTTGTCTGAATTCAAGTGGTGTTTTTCCTTTTCTAAGTACTTTGTACCCTCACCATGTGGAACTTCTGGTGAATCAGTAAATTCAAAGAATCTGTAGAGTGCTGCAGTTTCTGAGAATTTCTAGGGCACTTGAAATTTTCCCTGACATTTAAAATTGAAGAATGCCATCCAAAGTTGAAGGGCTTTCATCTTCTAAACTCTTGATTGGACTTGCACGCTTTCTCTGCCCAGTGGCTAATGAGTGTAAGAAAAAGTGGTTGTAACAGATAGAAAAGTCCTCAGATATTATCGTTGGCTCATTTCTTTAGGAATTGCTGAAGGCTTGATTAACCTCCCCAACAGGCTGTTGTTCAGTTCCTGATATGTCATTAAAAGGGATAAAGTGATAAAGAAGTGGTCATAGGGAATGCAATTTTCCTTTCTTCAGCCCTTCATATACAGATTAAAAGCCTTGCCATCTACCCAGCAGACTCTGTTTACAATGAGGCTTACTCATCAATCAGCCCCACTTGGGCACATACAAATTCCAAGAATCATTTCAGCATCTTCCTCTTAGACTGCCAAGCATTATTAGGCATTTGAGAAAAATCTTTGCCATGAAGGACACAGTACAAATAAACAAGTAAAGAGAAATAGGGCAGTCAGGAATCAGAACAATCTTCAAATTTTAAGAATATGTGCAGAGAAAAAGTTATCTATAAAGAAAAGAAAAGGATGCTAAAAAAAGGAACAAGAAAGAGCTCTGGGAAATTAACATTTTTTTTTCTAAAATCACATGTAAAATTGCATAACTTGGAAGGTAAAGTTGAGAAAATCTTTCAAATTATGTAGCCAAATGACAATACAATATAAAATGGTGTGTGTGGAGAAAACTGAGGAACTCACTTGTTTAATCTAAGAGTTATATCTTAATAATAAACTTTGTAGAAACACAAATAGTGGAAAAAAAGGGGAAGGAAATTATCAAAGAAATGTTCCAAAAAATTCCTGGTATTGAATGACACACAACTGCCTACTGAGTACACACAATAATGAAAGACAAAAGGTTTCATATTTTAAACAAAATATCATCATGAAATTTCAGAGATAAAGAACTTAAAGGTTTTGACAGGTGGGGGCCAGGGAGGAATATGAAACAGGTCACATGCAAAAAATTATTAGAAGTAATGACATTGTAATTTTTAATAAAAAACAGTCTCTGGAACAATGCCTTCAGATTATGAGGATTTCAATTTAAAATTGAAATTTTAAGTTTTGACCAGACAAACTACTGGTCAATTGTCAAAGCAAAATAAAGGTATTTACAGGCGTTCAGTGTCTCCAAAAATGTACCTCCATGCATCTCAGAAGACTTCTGAGGACTCTAGCAGAAGGAAGGGGTAAAATAGGAGAGAAAAGTGATGCAGAGAATGTGCTCAGAAAAGTGGGGAGGGGCATTTCAGGGGAACGATGGCAGAGCAAATTGAAAGAGGAACCAGTCAGGTTGCAGCATTAAGCAGGAAGGCTACAGGACACAGAAAAAATGGATTACTTGCAATGTTTGAATATATTATTTGAAAAAAGCTTTACTTGTGTAAGCATGAAATTTTTTTGTGGAGCAACTGGAAAAAATTAAGGATAAGTATAGAGAAAGTTCTAGTAATGAAAAAAATGCAGATATCATTAACATTAGAAGGAAATATTATTTAAGAAAGAAAATGAAATCCTAGCACATTGTTTGGCTTTACTCTAAATAACAGGATTTTAAATATGAAAACAGTGAACATGAAAATAAGACAAGAGATAGATGGTTTGGTTATTAGACCTACACACTCATCTATCTCAAGTATAAACTCATAAGAAAAGTTAACATGATTAAGTTAGGAAAAAAAGAGCAATAATGTTTCATGCAGAAATATGGAGGCAAATACATGAAAAACAAAAATTACTGAAATTGATTGTTTTGAAGAGCTTAACTAACGATGTGTGTGGGGCAGAACAGAAAATCTATGATTTTTGTTATATACATTTTCCCTTTATTTGAATTATTTTGTGGTTTTTTATTTATTTATTTATTTATTTATTTGAATTCTTTTGATAAAAAGAAAAAACAAAAACATAATTCACTAACAAAATATAGATAATTATCCTCCAAACAAATAATATTGAATGATATTTTTAATATCAGCAACAAAGAAAAGACTATTACATTTTAGGTTCAAAATATTTTCACTTCTTTTACACAATTATGTGGAATAGTGTATAGGGTGAAAATATTTACAATTGTGACTTTTTAAAATTGTGATTTCATCATTCAGAGAATGTGCTCCCAAACTGAGGTACAGTTTAAATCAGCACAGTATTTGAAGTCAGTGGAAACACCATATGATAGTTTTAGTGATGACTGAATTCATTCTAATAGTACAGTAGAAGTGAATTTTTAAAGTTAAATATATTTTATAAAAACTAAGTTTCAAGTTTAATTGTTCTCAAATAATGACAAAACATTTGGAACCTTTCCTTGTTTTTTAAAAGGTTTTATACTGTCTGAGAGAATGAACAATTTAAATAGAAATAACCATCTCACAGTGTTGTAGCTCTTGAAGAACTGGCTTAATGTTTAAATATCTGGTGGTGCACTGTTGTATATATAATGAATAAAACCCCATTATTCTCCTTAAATAAGGATAAATAAGACTCCATTTGAATAATCTGGAGAACTTTTATGTAAGTAGGACCAGTAGACAATCATTGATTAAGGACCACTAAAACCAAGATGATGCTAAGTGCTGACGAAGAATATTGGCTGATAAAATGCATGAAACATTTACTATAGGCTTTTTATATCTCTTAGGTGTTCTTTGAAATTTGTAAAACCACAGTGTATAGAGTTATTTGGTAAATGTCAAAGTTCTACTTGGTTCTTAATAGAAAATATGACATAAATGTGTTTTCTGCCCAGGGATTTACTGATGGAGACTTATTAAAAATTCAGTTTGGAGGAGCAAATGTCTCTGGATTTCAGATAGTGGACTATGATGATTCTCTGGTATCTAAGTTTATAGAAAGATGGTCAACACTAGAAGAAAAAGAATACCCTGGAGCACACACGACTACAATTAAGGTACATGTCTATCAGGATCTACCTCCACCTCCATCTCCATCTCCTTTCCCACTTCCATCCCCACCTCCCCCTCCACTTCCATCTCCACCTCCACCTCCATCTCTGTCTCTGTCTCTAACTAACTTCTGGTGATTAGCCTGTTCTCTGGGACGTCTTATGAAGAAGAAAAAAAAATTTGTCTGAATAATTAACAAAATAAATATAATGCCTCATGCAATCAAAGAATCTTTGAATGCTCTGTGGGTTTGGGCACATTTAAGTCTTTACTTGTTTATTCAATGTATTTTGTTGTGTGTACACATACAGGCCTATATTTACTTCCAAATATGAATATTTCTTCTGTTAATAGGAAGGTTTTTATTTTTCTTCTATTGGTCACCTTATTGAGAGCAGAAATAAGAGTAAAACCTGGGGGAGAGTGCATGAAAGAGTGAGTGGGCTGAGATCATGTTCACTTGCTTTATGAAACTAGAGTTATATGACAATTAAAAGTTGCAGAATGTTGTCAAATGTGTAGTGTGTTTATCTGTGTGTTATAAAGCACATTGTGCAAGAACCAGTCAGGAACAGTGTTATTACAGATGCCCTCACAGTTATGTTGATACGTCCTAGAGAATTTTAGTTGATGCTCTTGTTTTCTGCACAAATGGAAAAAAAAAAAACCAGATATAAACATTTGCCTTTAAATTTGTTTCTGGCTGTGAGTCTGGTACTAGATAAAAATTAGAAGCTCTGAAGTTTTCTACTTTGGGGTGTGTAAATAGATCCTTTTAATTTTGTGAGAATTTGACACAGAATTAAAGTGTCCCATGGGATGTTAAAGAATAGCCCAGAACTAATTTTTTTTTCTCCAAAGTAGGTGGCTTCTTGTTTGGTGACCTTGACTGAGATTCAGCACATATGCATGTATAACAGGGCTATGGTCTTGTGGGCAGGTCTTGGTGCAATAGTCAGCAAGGGGACACCTATCAGCGTCTGTCTCCACCTGCTGTCAGCCGGGATCTGACTGTGGATCCCATCCGGTGGGATTGCAGGCTTCCCTGCACCCAGATATGGTGCCAGTCTAGTTCTCTGATGGAGCTTGCATGTGGCACTCACCCTCAGATGGAGCTGACGTGTTCCTCTGAGCACCCTGTTAGTCATCCTGTAGCCTCCCACAGCTGCCGGCTGTGAGAGGAGGAAAGCAAAGAAGATTTTATTTTTCTCATGGAAGTCATATCATTATTAAAGTTCATGTGCCATACATCAAAGTTCAAGCAGATTTGGGGGATGAGAGATTGTTGGCAATGTGTTCTGCCAGCAATATTTGGCAGAACAAATATTCTGCCAAAACTGTAGCCAAGATTGCCAAGCTGTAGCACCAGATTTCACTTTGTTGGTGACCTTTCTTGCTGTAGCATTTCCTTCCATACCGGCTCCGTGATGGCTTCTTTTACCAAGTTTCAGAGAGTCTGTGATGGCCCTTCCTTGTGGGGCACTCCAGAGAGCACAGGCTCATAAATATAAAAGCACAGGCTCTTCCATTTATTGGGGGTTTTAGTTGCACAGAAAAGCTTAAAGATAAAGTGATGTGTATCCCTTGAGGGGGAACCAGGACCTCGCCCCAAGGCTGCCCTGTTGTCTCTTGGCTGCTACTTGTCTGTACATTCCCTCCTTTTGTGATTAGCAACTGTTTGAACCTGCCCTTTGGAAATCAGGGAAGGCCAGGAATCCAGATTAAAGGAATGAAGGTACTGCATATACCCTGATCCTTATCAGAAACCCCACCCTTGAACCATTGCTATAAAACTCCTCACCAATTTCTCCCAGATTGGGACACACAGGTTTTCAAGGCACGAGCTTGCTGTGTCCCCCTTTGCCTCACAAAGCAATAAAACTGTTCTTTTCTACTTCATCCCAAAAAACAACAAAAACAAGTAGGCTCTGAGTCACTGTTTGAATCTAAGCTCAAAAATAAAACAACATTTACAAAGACTAATCAATATTTAGCATAGCTTTGGAAACATAGGTGCCAATAAGAGATATATCTTATATAGCCTTTGAATCTTGATAAAAGGTACTGAAAATCCATGTGGAGGATGTGCCTTTGGCCAGGAATTCGTCATAACGTGGGCATGTATTGCTCATGTACTAGAGAACTGGGAACTGAAGGTATTTTTAAAAAATGACCCTTGCCATTGCTAATCTACAGTCAATGGTGGATACAAACATGTGAAGAAGCAAATATTATATAATACAGAGCAATGCATGTAAAATATGGCAGCTCCTACACTTGATTAGGAGAGTACGGTAGGTAGGACAGTAAAGAAGGCTTTCCCGAGGTGGAATGCCTGAGCAGAGCATGGTTGAGCAGGAAAAAAAGTGGAGGAGGATGCTTGGGAAGAAGACTCAGATTGATGAAATAGCATGAGCAATCCAGGGAATTTGGGAGGGGTGTAGTGCCAAGAGGTCAGGCTCTTCAGAAGTGGATTTATTCAGCGAGAAACACACTCCACAGACAGAGTGTGGGCCATCTCAAAATGTGAAGATGATCCCAGGGTATGGGGTTGTCAGTTTTTATAGGGGCAGTTAATTTCATTGGCTAATGAGTGGGAGAAGTATTCTGGATATTTTGGGAGAAGGGGTGGGGATTTGCAGGAATTGGGACACCACCGACTTTTTGGTCTTTGATGGTCAGCCTTGGGACTGTCATAGCCCTTGAGAGTATGTCACATAGCTTCCTGATGTGTTACAGTGAATGTATACTGAGGCTCAAAGTCTAGTGGAAGTTGACTTATCTACCATCTTGGATCTAGTTAGTTCTAATCATGTCATATCCTGGGACTATGTTGTTCTTTCAAATGTTGTGTCTGCCCCTTTCCTCCTGTTTCACCACTGTTCCTCTCTAGACCAGTCGGTGGCCATCTATGCCACTGGAGTAAAAGGTAGATGCATCCCTTTGGCTCATGTGGCTGTACATACCCTGCCTTCCTCTCCTGGGCTGTTCCCTTGCTCCCTCTGCCTCACCTATGGTGGCCTTTCTACCCATTCTTAAGCACAAGAGACCTTCCCCCACCAGCACTGAACCTTCCTTTTCCTGGACTCTTCTCCCCTTCACATCTGCAAAGCTAAGCCTCCTGCCTTCTGTGGTCTTTACTCGGATGCCATCTCCTCCAGGAAGCTAGCAACAGGCTCTCTGTTTAAAATTGCAATCTCCCCACCCATCACAGTGTGTCCCATGCCATTTCCCTGCTCCAGTTTTTCTGTTTAATACCTCCTGCTGTACTGTATTCATAATGAATTTATTCATTACTGTGTTAAATGTCTGACTCCTTCAGCTTGAAAGTGCCGTGGAAGCAGGGGTTTTGGTTGGTGTTTGTTTGTTCCCTGATTTTGCTTGTTCGTAGCTCCTAGAAGGAGGCCTGGCACAGAGCAGCTCTTTAGCAAAAGGCTCTCTGAATGAACAGACAAAGGAAAGTGCCCTTAAGAGGCTCCTATTCCCAGATCTGTAAGCAAGAAAGGCTTCCTTTTTTGAGGGAATCATAGGGAATTTAAAACCTGAGGGAGAGATAAGTATTAGAAGGAAGGGAACATGACTTCCCACAAAGTCCTCAGTGCAAGGAAAATATAAATATTTCTGTAAGGCTGGAAGTTGAACAGAGGACTTTGGAGGGAATTCTGAGAAAGAATACTTTATAGACAACCTTGTTGACTTCTAAGGAATTATTTATCTTATTCTGAGGGCTTCCCAGGTGGTGCTAGTGGTAAAGAACCCATCTGCCTAATGCAGAAGATATAAAAGACTCAAGTTTGATAGCTGGGTCAGGAAGATCTTCTGCAGGAGGGCATGGCAACCCACTCCAATATTCTTGCCTGGAGAATCTCCATTGACCAGCCTGATGGGCTATGGTTTAATAGGGTCACAGAGATTTGGACACAACTGCAGCAACTTAACATGCATGAGAGCAGCCAGAATGCCCTAGAGAACGATGGCTGTAGGTTTGATACACAAAGTTTATGGGCTGCCCTGGTGACAACAGACCTTGTGATGGGAAATAAATGGATTTGTTACACTTGCCAGTTCTCTCCATTTTATTATCATAACCCTACATGTGTAATATATGAATATAAATTCAGCTGAGAGGTATTTGTGGATTGAAAACAAGATTCAGAAAGACACTCTGCATCCTTCTATCTTATTAGCCCCACAGCTCATGCCGGGATTTGCACAGAGTAGGCACATAATAGAGATTTGTAGAAATGAAGAGGAATGAAGTGAAAAATAAGTCAATATTTTGAATATATCAAGACAGGGGTAAAGGAAAAAATATGCAATTATAATTGCTATAAGATGGGGTTTAAATTTTTGTCCTGAGCATCTGTTGTGTTCTTTGACTCAGCTGTAGCAGAAAAGTAGTGTTATTTTGCTGGATGAAATATAAAATTCTATAGTAATCAGATTTGAACTATCATGGCACCTGGGTTTAAATGGGACAGTTGCAGCGAGCATTTTACCTTTCTCAAAAAAAGTTGACAAAGAGACAGATGATTCAGATGATTTGTCAGTATCTTAAAACTAATTTGCATACATTTCTGTTTTGAGATAGATTTTTGGTGTTTTCAGGGTCTTCAACGACTTGCAATATATAACCATCCGTTATACCTTGTCATGTGGACAGTTTGAACCTAGTTCAAATTGTGTCTGTTGGGACCTGCAGGTGTTAAAGAATTCAACCATAATATAGGACTGACATTGCGTGTCACCTTAAATAATGGCTTTCCTCCAAGAATCCCATTTTACTAAGAAAAAGACTTAAAACAGGAATTCAAACTTTCTTAATTATGAGGCCTGTTGGAAAATAGTATAATCACTTTGAGTTCAGTAATTAGCATCATGCATTAAATATGCTATGGTGGCTTCATGGAAATGATTCTGCTCCTTGAATGTTTTAACTGACCAAACCCATGCTGGCATGTTGTCATTACCTACAATGAATATTAAAGTATTTTTGACATGCAAC